CCGCTGTCCGGATGCTGCCGCTGGGCCGTGCACGGACAGGGTCGAGTGAGGTCTGCAGAGCTGCTGCGAGAGAGAATGAAAACACGACACTGACTTTGGGTGCTTTCTGCTTTTCCTACTTGAACTGAACATTTGTACGACCAGCGTGAGGCTTGGTGTGTTCATGGGGTCACGCACAGCCCGGCTCGTTTCTCCTGATCAATCCAGATTTTGTTTCTGATCCGTTTGTGCTGCATGTGCTTTGAATCTGAATCCAGGTCGAAGGGTTTCATTCCAAATCTGACAAATACAGGGATTTTTTTTTCCAGGCTAAGCCAGGCTAAGCCAGGCTAAGTCAGGCTGGCAGCTTCCAGTCTTTATGCTGAGCTAGGCCAGCACATCCAGCTCTGTACGCACACAGACTGATCATCCATCAGAACCAAAACAAATATCTACCCAAACTAGAGTTGCGGTGGTATCCCGGGTTCAGAGGTTCAGTTACTTCCTGTGTTGAACAGGTTTTAGATTTAATTTGCATTTCCTTTTCTGATTTGGGTGAAGTGGCCCTTTACCACTGAGGCTGAGAGAGCCCCCCAGTGTTTCCAGTCCAGGACAAAACTCTGACAATCACCTAATGAATGTTTGACATTGGGGAAAAATACCTTCAAAGGTTTTTAAAATCAAATCGTTTAGATAAAAACCTACATCCATCAATATGTTATGCAGTTTAGTATTTCTGACTCGTGTTATCGACCGTTTTGAGTCTTTAAACCAAACCAGTGGTTCCGTTTTCCATCAGGTTAGTTTGGGACAAACCACGTCTGGTAAAAGACAGTATTTGGTGAATAACACCAGACTCCAGAGATTAGTGAAGCTGAGGACTTTATATTTGTTATTAACGACGTTTTTCATTGGTAGGACAGAACCTCACCAATCTGACATGATTCAGTAGTTAATCTGAAAACGTTTCCACCAAAGTCAGCTGGGACCGATTTACTACGGGCTAAATAAACTTTTTACATCTTGTCGGTTTACTTTGTTGTTTGTGCTGAACCTCACGCTGTGTTTTATACCACCTTGTAGTTACCTGACATGTAGACAATTTGTGGGTTTTTTGTGGTGCTGATGCTTAGCTGCAGATCCTACCTGGTGTCGGTGTGCGCAGATCCTACCTGGTGTCGGTGTGCGCAGATCCTACCTGGTGTCGGTGTGCGCAGATCCTACCTGGTGTCGGTGTGCGCAGATCCTACCTGGTGTCGATGTGCGCAGATCCTACCTGGTGTCGATGTGCACAGATCCTACCTGGTGTCGATGTGCGCAGATCCTACCTGGTGTCGATGTGCACAGATCCTACCTGGTGTCGGTGTGCACAGATCCTCTCTGTTGCACTGCGAGTCTTATGTTTTATGTTCAGAACACAGTGACTGGTCCCAGTCGGTGCTTTCACTCAAAATACAAGTAAAGGAACAAATGTCTTAAAACGGTCATATTCTTAAAAACGTGTTTGGAAGTCCCTTAGTGCCGATGTTAAAACGAAGCCATTTAAACAGTTTAATCACATTCACACTGGGTTTTCAACAGTTATGAAAATGACCATGAAAAGGTCGTTTTGTCTAATTTTCACTGGACATCAGCTCAAATCAGGACATGATTCCACTTCAGATGCATTTAGTCACATTTAATTAACTTCAGGTTAAACTGCTTTGTGAAAACTAAACAAATGGAAAATGAAAACTCAATGTGATTATTTCATTTTAATTTGCCGGCCACAGACTCCCATCCAACGAGGCCACTTTCATCTGCTCCTACATAAAACGTACAAAGGTTTGCTGTGCACATTTTGGATATAAACAGACATCAGCCCCACTGGTACGGCCTTTTATACACCAGTGTGTTACATCTGTATTATATTGGCCAATGTTCTACAGGAACACATAACGTTTTTAAGAATTCCTTAAGCTTCACTAAAGAACTGGATGGAGCCGTCTTAAAACATTTTACAGTGTAGAGGCTAAACAGCGCCCCCTGCTGGACAAAGTGTGCAGTGGAGACACGTCTGAATGAACTGAAGCATGTGTGACGTTCACAGCCACCACCACCACCTCTGATACACCAGGGCCAGTTCCTCGGTAACCAGAGCCACCAAGAACCGGTGTTGGTCGTAACTACTCAGTGAGATACTGACATAGAAACAGAAATTTGACAAAGCATGAGCAGTCTGGATTTGTTCGCCTTGGATTTCAGTGTCTGCTCAGCAGTCGTCATTGTGTATTATCTAAATGTATTTACCTTTTGCCTTAAACAAATTTGGAGGCAGAAGTATTATGTGCACATGAAACTTTGGGGAAAGCCTTTTTTGCTGTTGTTTTTAGGAGCCACGCTCACAGGGCTGCCATCTTTGATTGGCCTCTAACACCTTGTGACAACAGGAGCAAAGTTAATGTCTCCAATGTAAAAACAGTGCACAGATGTCAGGAACATCGCTGGGCTCATCGTAGGTGAAGGGCGGGTTGGTGTGAAGTCGGCTTTGGAAGATTCATCTCAGTGTTTTGGAAAGTGAAAATCTACAACAGTATCTGGAACAAGTCACGTACTGTAGCTTTAAGCCCAGTGTTTCACTTCCTTGCTTGTTACAGAGCTTTCGACCCTATCCCATGACCTTATGCAGGAAATGGAGCTTGATCAAGGTTCAGACACACGGGAACTAATCACGTGACTCTACCTCACCCGGCGTACGCTGCCAGTGACCACAGCTAATCCACCACCTCCAGCTGTTGCACTTAACTGAACAAAGCAAAGTTGTTTTGGGACCTTGAATTTACTGCACATCTTGTTCCTGTGGTTCTGTGCTGACTGTAAATGTGGCCCTGAAGCAAAGTCGAGTCAAAACATTCTGTCATGCACTTTTCTGAAAGTTGTATGTCTGGGGTTTAAAGTCTGACGCAACATGCTAACAAATCCATGATGAACTGAATCCACCTCGGTGGGAGTCTGTGCGTCTTCTCCAACAGGAGCAGAGATGTAGTGTCCACAGCTGCTGAGCGTCAGGCCCAGAGGCTCCTGTTCGGTCTCTGCTCTGGTTGTTCAACGGGTAGTCCGGGTCAGGCCCAGCGGACCAGCACCCGGTCTCCGTCCTCTATGGAGTAGAACTGCAGACTCTTCAGGTCACCGGTGATCTCGAACTCTGTCCCCACGGTCTGTAACGAAGAGGCCACGAGGACAAAGGCTTTAACTTTTATGTCGCATGTTCAGTTATTCCTCTGCCTCTTTTAGAGATAGTGGTACTTGTAATAAATATCAGATGCTAGCAGCATTGGAGGAGAGGCTCGCCGATTTGGAAGTGCGGCTCCACGCCATGAAAAAGAGCCCAGCTAGCCAGGCCCATGATCACTGGGACTGAACTGCCTGCTATGGACACACTGTACACACAGTGCTGTCGTAAAAGGGCAGAGAACATAATCAGGGATCCACTCCACCCAGCTCACTCTCTGCTCAGACACAAAAACTGCACCTACAGCCTCAGGCACAGCAGGGTGGACAGTATCATCACACACAGAACAAGACTTTACAACAGCTTTTTCCCTGCTGCAGTAAGACTGATGGCAAATACACAATGTGAGAATATACTAGCAATAACCCCTCATTACCTCACCAAGTGTAATGACATATCCAACTCCACAATGTGAATTACTAAGTGTGATGCTTCTTCTCGATTGATGCTTCGTCGGCGTCGTCAGGAAACACGAACGTGATCTCTGGTGAGCAGAGACGAGGACAATCAGAAAAGATCACATTTTCTCACGGGACTGCTAGAACCAGAGTATGGTTAACCAATCAGAGAGCAGATGGCAGGAAGAGGCGGGACTAACTTAACAGCTGATTCTTCAGGGCAAATGGCTCCGGCTTCTTGAGCTCGCCTTCCTCTATGGCGCCGTACTCTGAAACAGAACAGGATAATCATCATCATCATCATCATCTCTTAAATCTAAATTTAAATTTAAGATTTAGACAAAATTTAAACAATAGGTTAAATGCTTTCACTCCACTAGGCTACCGCTAACATGCTCAGACTGCACATCTAACTGCATCTCTACCTTCGAGAGCGGTCACTCAAAACAACAATAATCACTTTGCTGTTTGACGTGGTCAGACAAACTTCGTATGAGTGAGTCGGCCCTGGTCTCAGGCTCCACCAAGAGATTCTAAAGCATTAAATACCGTGTATAAATCTCCAACATATTGCAAAACTGATGAAAGAATAAAAGTCAAAGTGTAAGATAGAAACCTCATTTAGTGGAAAACAAATGTATTGAAGAACAAAGCGCGACTCTGTGGTTACTAACAGTAACCTGTGTTCCTCCTCTCACACCAACGTGGAGCAGGGTCAGTCTGACTGTAAACACAGGTTTTTACTGGCTTGTCGCGTCAGTCTGACAGGCCGTCTCATTCTCCCATGATGCTGCAGGACAGTTTGGATTAAACCACCCAGGCGACTGAGTGTGTTGTTCATTCATGCCTCCAGTTTGTTTAAATCCTGAACGCTGTCAGGCCTCCAAATATGAAGTGATCACAGTGTGACAGGATGTAGACTGCACACACACACACACACACACAGGCTTTAACTTTTACCACCTGAATGTGTTTATACATGACTTGCATAAACACGTGCACACAGATACGCCAAAACTGCTCATGTATTATTTCACTGAGCCCCTGAAGTTCTGTCCTGTAAAACGTCTGCTGCTTCTTCATTAGATTTCAACAACCTGACTGGTTAATGGAATAAACTTGCTTTAGTATTTTATAAAAGTTTTATAATGATTCTGTTCCTGCATTTAGACCAGGCTGAAACAACCATCCTACACTGGTCGACTGGGTGCTCAGTAGCAGACTAAAGTTGTTTTAAGTTCTATTAGGACAACTACTTGTATACTGAGCAGCTCTTCTGCAGTGTTGTGATGTCAGAGGTGTGGCTGTGTTACCCTGGGGCTGGTGTAGGTGAGCCTCAGATCAGTTGCAGGGACCTTCAGCAGCCTGTACAGGAGCCCCTTCACCTTCTGCACAAGCATGGAGGCTGCAGGACACAGCACATTGTCACACTGTGCAGACAGACCGGCCTGCTCTGCTGCACAAATGCTCAACATGGCAAAACCACCGAGCTGAAAGACGTCGTGGCTGCTGGACATTTTGATAAAACCTGATCAGACTGAAATCGTTTCTCCTGTTTTACCTGGGAGTTTCTTCTCGATTGGCTTCCGGTCGGCGTCGTCAGGAAACACGAACGTGATCTCTGGTGAGCAGAGACGAGGACAATCAGAAAAGATCACATTTTCTCACGGGACTGCTAGAACCAGAGTATGGTTAACCAATCAGAGAGCAGATGGCAGGAAGAGGCAGGACTAACTTAACAGCTGATTCTTCAGGGCAAATGGCTCCGGCTTCTTGAGCTCGCCTTCCTCTATGGCGCCGTACTCTGAAACAGAACAGGATAATCATCATCATCATCATCATCATCACTTAAATCTAAATTTAAATTTAAAATTTAGACAAAATTTAAACTGGTGCTTAACAGTGACTGGTTCTGTGGGAGAATTAAATTTAGTAGTTTGTCATGAAGAAGTACTATTCATTGTTTCCTCCAGCACAGCGTCATGTTTTAAACGACGAATCAGTGAGCTGACCCGCGACCTGATCACATGACTCACTGTCGATGAGGCTCTGGTAACGTGGGTGCTGACAGTTGAACTCTGTGCTGGACTGACTTTGCCCCCCTGCCTTCAGCCACTGCTCTCCAAACATCTTGATGTAGTCGAGCTCCGCCCCCCTCCTGTCCTCAGGTTGGATCTGATGGAAACCATGGAAATAGGTCAGCCCAAACACACACACACACAGACACACACACACACACACACACACAGGTGGAGCTCACTTTGCAGCTGTTGAGGATGACCAGTTTCCCCAGTTTGGCGATCAGCATCTGATTGGCTGTTTTGAGGTTTCCATCGCTGCTCACCAGTCGGTTTCCACGGCACGAAAACTGGACCAAACTGGGAAGCTTAGCCAGCTCGTCCACCACACACCACTGAGAAAGAACAACACAGGCATGCTTTACCGTACTGTGCTTTTATTTTGAAAATCTTATTTTTATAGGCCACGGAGGAAACAAACAACAGGATCCCAACAGCATTGACAGTGAGTGTCAGTGTCACTTTGGATGTCAGATCATTTCAGTGTTCACGTACATTTAAACAGGTTTGATAGGACACTGCCGCTCGATCTACTCTCTCATACGTCCAACTATGTAAATGTGTATAAAGCCTCGGTCAGTGATCATCCTATGACACCGCTGCACAGTGGAACTATGAAGGTGACGGACCAGAGAGCCGTGAAGCTACATGTCACAGAAGTACAACCTGGAAGACGCCGGCCCGAAATCTCAGTTTGCTTAACAAACCAAGCTGACATCTCCTGGATGTCTGGTGCTTTTCAGCTGAACTCACTGACCTCAGAGATGTTGTTGTGGTCCAGGCTGAGGTTCTTCAGTGCTGGGAACATGGCTGTTTGAGATCCTACAGAGGAGTCAGAATTTACAAGAGGATTATCAGCAGCTAATTAGGACATAAAACAGAGGAGGTTCAGCGTACGAGTCAAAAGGTGGCAGTGAACTGTACCGGGAGCAGCGTCATCGAATCTGATGACAGACAGACCGGTGCTGGACAGATTCAGCTGCTCCAGTCTGAAATCAAACACACAACACAAGGATCAATGCATCTGCCTCTGCTGGTTTTGTTTCGTACAGGCCGCTTCATACTGGGGATCTGGTCTTTATCCGAGCCCAGCATCTGGACTGGTGCATTCTCTATAGAAACATTTAGTCAGTGTTTCTGTGCTGTACCTGGGCAGAGCAGATAAGCTGAGCACGCTGTGCTGCACCAAAGGGTTACAGGACAGACTGAGGCTCTTCAGCGACTGCAGCACTTCATCGGGCCTGTAAAAGACCAAATGCATCAGAGGTAGAGGAGTGAGGGTCAGGTCTCCAGTGTGGACTGACAGACAGGGAGGACAGCTGTTACCTCTGCAGCTCTGTGATGTTGTTTTCTTCTGCACACAGCTCCTCCAGCTGCGGCCACATGGGGGCGCACTCCAGGATCTGACCCCAGACAGCACAGAGGGAACCCAGCGATTAGAGGTAAAACAATAGGAGACAGATGTGACAAAGAAGACGACTGCTTTGTTAAAGCCTGACACTGTTCATCGAGTAGCCACCACGCTGACAACTCTTATTTTGACAGTTGACAGGAAGAAAGGAGCTGATCAGTCACTTGTCAGCTTATGTGAATCCTTTTCACTTTAGTCTCACTTCAACTGCAAAGTTTACAGGACAGAAGGTATTATGAACAATATACTAATTCATATTTTAGAGTATTTTAAAAAAAATCAGATTTCAGTTTTTGCCTTTTAATAAGTCTGCATATTATTCTAATAACATTTATAATATAATATATAACATATAATATATAATATAATATAAATATAATATAAAATAATAAATAATATAATATAAAATAAATAATATAAAATCAAAATAATGAGATTATAAGAAACTGATATTTAGCTATAGAATAAGATCACATCCTGGTGACACAGATTTACAAAGGAAACTAAGAAGTTAACAATCCTTTCTTCTGACAGCAGAGAAGAGTCAAAGGGTTTCCCTGATGAACAGGTGAGCACAGACAGGTGCGCGTACCTGTGGCCAGGTGAGGTCACAGCCATTGAGCGCCAGGACTCTGAGGCTGCTGAAAGCCTGGCAGTGAGCCGAGGGGTCAGAGGGCAAACACAGCCTGTTGTAGCTAAGAACAAACACAACAATAGAAATGTTAGTGGGAGGAGACGAAGGCCAACAATAAAAACAAATCCAACAGGCGGTCATCCTCAGAGGAAGCTGTACTTGAGCTGGATTCCCTTCAGGTGGTCCAGCTGCTGGGCGATGGCTGCCAGGTCCTCCCAGCACGACAACAGCGTCCTACTCAGGTCCAACCACTGGATGTCTGATCGCTGCTGCTAAGGTTCAGCACAGTGACACGTACCAGCCTACAGTTACAGCCTGACCGAGGCCACAGCCTGGACAGACGAGGGTTGACGGGGTCAGCGCGTCAGGCTGTACTCCTGACACACACTTCAGCTGACAGCGGTTTTCATTTTCTTGGTTAAAATATGTCAGAAGATCAAAAAGTCACAATTTATCAAACTTCAATGTAACATTTTCCTTGTTTTGTCCAAACAGTCCAAAAGCCAGAGGTCAGCCATGTGTTAGCACATGAACTAAAGAAGAGCAGTAAACTCTCACAGTTTATAAGCTTCAACTAGTGACTGGTGACATCTGTGTTGGACAAATGACTCGTCTAAGTGCGAACTAATTTTCTGTTGGCTGACTATCGGTAGTTTCAGCTCTATTCCTGGCACTGTCTGGAACATCATCAATAATTACTTTTTACCATTTACAAGCAGTATAAATAATATACAAGCAGTAACTAATATGAATACCCCAGGGACAGTACACATCAGGCTTGTGCTGCTTCCCTCCCACTAACCTACCAGACTCACTAGTTTCCAATATGACACCAGTAACCCTCGTCCCAACACTTCAGCCTGTAGCCCGATCAAAACAAAGCTTAGGAGGCCTGTGAGGTGTGTGCAAAGATACTGGGCGTTGTCTTCCTGATTTCTCCTTCAGCCCCGGCGCCGTTCACCTCAGAGCGGCTCAGCAGCGCCGTCGGAAGGCTCTCCAAGCTAGAGACAGAAGCAGGACAGAGACATGAACCGACCGCCTGTTTCATGATGTCAGACACTGCCACTGGGCGATCCCACATTTACTGTTCATCAGCATTGTACCTGCGCTCCTTGATGCCCTCCCACTCGAGCTTCTTAGAGGAGATGGAGATCTCCTCACTCAGCACCTCCTCTGTGTTGATCTCGTACGCCTGTTGCACGGCGGTCAGGTAATCCACGCCGAAGCTCACTTTGGCAGGACGGACGAACGAGGCTCCTTTAGGGTGTCTGACAGAGCGGAGAGAAAATGATCAGTCACAATATTCCCTTCTTTCACAATGACCACATGTGCTAGTTTCAAATAATAAAGAAATGATTAATTTCACTAATTAGACCAATTTTAGTTTAATTTGTTGAATCATCACACCACGTCATTGCACAACTCCTTTAGTCTAGGATTTATTTTGTATCATATTTGAGGAGAATTTAAGCAGTTTTAATTTTGAATTTTAAATTTTATCCCACTGAGTGTTTAGAAAATGTGTCTGTTATGTTTTCTGATTTATTTTAGACTTTGCACTCTCACAGGAATCTTGCACACAAACCTTCTGAGGAGGCCGCTGCTAACCTCTGACCCAGGACTACACAGGAACACTCAGACTTGTGTGAACAGTTTGTAGATTCACGGCGTATAAAAGTAGCTACAGAGAATCACCTGCATGTGAAATAGCGGACTCCTTCGTGGCTGCCGTCATGTTTGCCCCTCTCAGGGTTATCCCACTCCAGGCCGAGCCACAGCCCTGACAACACAAAACAAACCCCCAGTTAGTCTTAGGGTTAGTGTGAGGGTGCTGCAGGTCTGCAGACCGACAGCGTCGGGACAGACATGTTTGCATTGTATTAAACAAAACCATTTTATAATACTTATTTTACCAAGTTCTAAACTGGTGTTAGGTATTTTCTTAGGTAGATATTTAGAGATTTGTTGTCTAGAAATGTGTAAGGCAGACAGGATGTCTAGCTCAGGCTGTTGAATGCTTAGTGCATAGTCATGAGTTCTGCAGGCTGCATCTAGGCCAAGGTCAGCTAGATTGCAGAGTCTACCGGCAGATGATTATTGCTAGTAGCATGATATGTTCAGCCGTAATCTTAATCATAATATCTTCCGAGGCTTACTGTTCGGACATGTCCCTGAATGTCCTGTATGTTTTTAGATACACACCACTAATCAACAGCCACACACTTTAATATTCTCCATGTTTTGACTACTGCTCTGGTCAGCTGCATAGCTGGCATATCAGGTGACGTCACGGTTTGACGGCGTAGGATGGGGCTAGCCCAACGAAGTGATTAAATTGTATAGGCTATTAGGTTCGGGGTCTTTTCATCTTCCGGGCTGCCTGCACGCAGTTTTGGGGGTGGAAGATGCCTGGACGTGTAATGTTAATTCTTGCCTGTGACCCTTTGAATAAACAGCACGGTTATATTTTTTATATACTCAAGTGGTCCGCTTCGTCTCTCTGAGTTCCTGGTTGAAAAGGACTGGGAAAAATCTTTCAATGGTATATTTCGTCTAAATAAGCAGCCGTACAACGACTCTATATAACCAAAGTCTATAATTGGCAACGTTCTGAATTAAATCAGGAGCAATATGACCAAGCAATAAAGATGATAAATCTGCCCAGACATTTGATGCAACTTGACAGTTTTTGCGCTACAAACACGTTTAGTACTGAGGTTTGTGATGGTGAAGCCCTAACTGGACTTACTGGGAACCACTGACCCACAGCTAGTCAGGACGCTGACACAGTGAAATGTCTCACCTGCTGTCGGTGGGACCGGGCCCACGTACCGCACTGTGGCCCGCTCCCCGCCGCAGGACACCCGCCTGCCCAATGCGTTCGCCGGTACCTCCGGCTCCGTCTGGTCAACGCCCATCGAAGCCACCTGCCGAGGAGGGAAAACCCGAGACCAACAGATGCACAGTTCACACGGAAATCCCTTTTACGTCCCGCGTTAACGACTAACCAAGCTAGCTACACATCCAGGTGTGTTGAGCTAACGCGTCACCGTTGCGTTGTTTTGTCTCACTTTAACATGAGGTTAGCTAAATGTACTCTTCTGCTAGCTCTCAATATGTGAACAACGGTAAAATGTCTGAGGTGAAAAATAACCATGAAAGTACCTGAAGTTAAAGGTTTTATCTATCGAGCTAACGTTAGCTTCCAAACCAAAACATTTCAAGTTGTTCACCGGAAGTGACCGATTTGAATGTTGTACCCTTTTGCCTTTCTAGAAAGTCGCTTTCGGCTTTTCCAGTTTAGGGGTCGTGATGGCGAATCGTCACACTGACGGCTCGCATGTTGACATTTGGCACGTTTGTTACGCCGGATGCCCTTCCTGACCACTAGCCTACCGGAGATGACCCTTTCTACATTTCCAAATATAACCAGTTGGAAACATCCCCTTAACTAAATATATGTTTATGTGCTCCATCTTTAATTATGTGTTATTCCTATTACGGTAGAGCTAAAGTGTTCAAGTCACTGGTGTGAAATTAGCTTTAATGAAGGAAAGATTAGAAGGAACCTTTTGTTCCGCTTGACCGTGTTGCTTGAGGGACATAGTTCGCAGTAGTACAGCAGCGTGCTTGGGATGAGAACGTGTGATGGTGCGCTAACCTAAAAATTGTTTTGTTGAAGTTTAAATTGTAAACATCTGAGTACATGCTGTAGTCGACTTTAGATTATTTCAAACCGGAAGTCCGTTGTTGAGTTACCGCGGACAAATCTGGAATAAACTATGAAGAAGAAACTTCGCCAGAGGTTTGTTTACACAGTTTTATTTAGCTGAAGAAAACGTAGAAAAACCAAGTGGACTAGATTTGTAGGTCGAAGACGTTTCAGCTCTCATCCAAGAGGCTTCATCAGTTTTGATGAGAGCTAACTTTGACCTGGATGACTGAGAATCTGCACAGACACACTTTTATTGAATACGTGAACGTGATTGACGGTAACCTGCCAAGTTTATTTGACCATAGATGGTGACAATTTAATGAATCGGTTCATTCATCTATTAACTAAACATCTCTATTTTTTATATTTTATATAATAAAGAGTGGACTGGAGAAATTTGATAATGAAAGAGTTTGAAATGATATCTGAAGTCCTTGTTATAGAGAAAGATTTCGCTGTTGTGGTGCAAATCTACTACTACTAATAATAATAATCTGATCATATCAGTGAAAAGACTGGACCCTCACTCCTCACAGAAGCTGCTCTCTCGTGGTTTCTGGTTCTGTGTTTTCTTGACTTCGGTGTCTCTGTCCTCAGTGGGGAGGCTCCTTCGGGGGGTCAGTCAGATGACTACGTGGTGGGTCAGGTTTCAGGAAGTTTGTTCCAGAAAAACTCTGCAGCCTCTGGATCTCTGTCGGCTTTATTCGGCACTGCTGCACCAGCTGCACCAATTGTGTTCCAGCCTGCACCTGAGGTAAATGAAAACACAAAGTTAGAGAGTTTTTACTAAGTTTCTGTGACTGTAGTCTTTTTAAACCAAGCAAACATTTGCTGGGGACTTGGTGTATGTGGGTCAGAGTCCAAACAAACTACAGTGTGTGCGTGTGATGGAGCAGCATGTTGCCTGATTAAGACCAAAGTAGAGTTGGGGAACCTTTCCCAGAGGACAGCTGGGACACTCCTGGTGAACGAATAAACAAAAGTACTTCTGGTGCTACACACATTCTGATTCCTTTTACATCCTCTTTCATGTCCATTATTTAAAAGACAAAGCTTCAAAAATATATCCCAGTTCAGAGAAGACCTGTGATAGATGTCGTCGTGCTCCAGCAGACCTCTCGTGTCCTAGACCTGCCCTGACTTGTCTTTCTGTGTAATGTCAGCAGTAACACACAGCAGAGTGTAGGGAGAGTGGGCACGAGGAGATGAAGAGGCCTGTTTGTCGATGGGCCAGTGTCACAGTTTGTTCTTTAACAATATTCTGCCAAAAAAGCTTCTGTGGCACAGACGAATAATTGGTGGTTTCACGCACAGGACGCGTTAGTAGATAAAGTGCTGATGTTGGTGTGCACAGTAAGAAGAAGATGGAACATCAGTGATGTGTCCTGTGTTGCTGTGTGTGTTTTGTGCAGCCAGTTCAGAGGAGCACAGAAACAAAGCAGCAAGAGAAAGATGCTCCAGAGGTCAAAGGTCAGCACAGCCAGAAGAAGAAGAAGCCGCCAAAGCAAAAATCAGCAGCCGACCAGAAGCTGGAAAACAGGTGAGAAGTCCAGAAACCCATCTGTAGAGCCATCCTGTCTGTGAGAGCTTGTTCTCTTCTCTCTCCTGTCACCAAAGTGTTGTCGTCCTCCTCCGTTTCTTATTTGTGTCAGTATTAGAATTATTGTTTTTCTTGGAAGCTTTTGCTCCTGTTTTCTGTCGACTAAATGCGTTGCCAGCTTTTTCTACTCTTCTTCAAATTCACTGAATGTTTCACTTCTTTTATTAAAAACTGTGAAATTAAGCAGCTTCAGTCCAAAAAAAACTTCATCTTCTCTTTGCCCTGTTTCTTCCTCCTCACCCTTTGGTTTCAGGGAGAGCAGTTTACAGAATGCAGATGAGGATGAGCGAGGGCAGGGCACATCCATGCAGGGGAAGAGGAAGAGGAAGGAGCTGGGCGAAGAGAAGGATGTAGAGCACTGGGTGATGAAGAGACAGAGGCTGAAGGCCAGCCGAGAGGAGGAGTCCATGAAGAGGAAGAGGACGGTGTTTGTCGGCAACCTGCCCGTCAGCTGCACCAAGAAGGTGGTGCTGTGTTTGTTTCCTGCGAAAAATGTCAAACCAGTTTCTTTCTCATTTTCTAAGCAGTTGATTTAGTGTTTCCAGATTGTCCATGAGCAATGTGCATTTATGACTGGGTGAGGAAGGAGCTGATGATGTTCTTGCCTTTCAGACCGTACGGAGCCTCTTCAGGGATAAAGGATCCATCGAGTCCATCCGGTTTCGCTCTGTGGTAAAAACACACAAACGTGGTCAGCTTGAAGAACGTCTGATTAAATCGCACTGTTTATTACGACGTGTGTCTTCTGACAGTGTTGTCCATCATTTATTAATCTCAGCAGTTGACACGGGGGAAGTATTTGTTGGTGAATAAGCTAACGTAGTGTTAGCCTGAGAGCCATCTGTTAGCATGCCAGCAGATTCACAGGTTGAATTCAGTGTTTGTACAGATTTTTTTTGCTGCAAGAAAAAGATATTGCAAAGATTCAGTTGAAATGAGTTGATTTGCTCCTCAGATCCAGTTTTACATGTCTTTGTCCTCTAAGATGAGAAGAAGTTCCCAAACTGCTGCTTGAGTAAAAGCTTTCACCAAATTTTACTTTTTTTTTTTATTAAGTGTCGTCACTAGTGGACTGTAACATCTTGGAGAAAAATGTTTTCTCAATGACATCAGAGCAGTGTGAGATTTGCAGGAGCAGCGTCCGGTGGCCACTAAAGAAACTGAAGTCTGTCTGTCTGTCTCCTGCAGGTCAGAGAGGATCCGTCCATGTCCCGCAGAGTAGCAGCTATCACGTACGTTTCTGTCTTCATCAGGTTACTGATACAGATGAACTGAACGAGTCTAAGACGAGAGGTGTTTTCATTTGCAGCTTCGAATATGTTTTGATAATAGGAATCAAAAACACCAAGACCCAACAATAAATGTAATTCATGTGTTTAAAGATGTAATGTGTAAATGTTTAACATTAGAAGTCAGAAATCTGAACAGCCGATGCAAATAAATGACTGAAATAATTAGTTAATTGATGGAAGATGAAGGCAGCCTCAGTTTGACAATGGATTAATTGTGTCATAATTAAAAATGGCAGAAATTTCAACTTAAGTTTGAGGCTTTTTCTCTGTCCACTGTAAACAAACTGACACTGTTGGTCCAACGAGACCAGACATTAGAAAATGTCTCCTCGGGCTCTTTTTGTCTAAAGGATTAACTCTTTAATCAAGTAATAATCAAACTAACAGAAAACGGTCACCAGCCGCTGCTTTTCCTTTTCACACATCCCTCACTGGCTTCCCACCAGCAAACACCGGACTTCGATGCCGTGGTTATAAACCGATTCTTTCCTTTGTATAAATTAACTTCTTTCTACTTCACAGACGCAAAATCCATCCCAAGAAGCAAAGCATTAACGCCTACGTGGTGTTTAAAGACGAGGAGGCGGTGGCCAAGGCGCTGGAGAGGTGGGACACCGCCAATACACCTGAACTATGTTTCTGATGCCGCTGAGCTGGAATCTGGGTAAATTGTCTTGTATCGTGTGTGTGTGTGTGTATGCTCTGACAGGAACGGCACGGAGATAGAGGACAACTTCCACGTCCGGGTGGACAGAGTGACTGACAGCTCTTCAGTGAGTCTTCAGATGTCTCCGTTAAAATGTTAAAATCTGTTGAATTCATTTGTGCCGAATGTTGATGCGTCCTGTCGGTGGTCTTGTCTCACAGCACGATCATAAACGTTCCGTGTTCGTGGGGAACCTTCCTTTCGGTGAGTCTTTGCAGTACTCTGCTCCACAGTCACTGACAGCAGGTTATCTTGAACACAAACCTTAAACTGTGTGTGCTTTTAGAGATAAATGAGCTTGTGTTTCGACGGCATTTTGAGGAGTGCGGCGCGGTGGAGGCCGTACGCCTGGTCCGAGACCAGAACTCTGGAATGGGGAAAGGATTCGGTTACGTCCTGTTTGAGGTACGACGACTTAAATCCAACTTTTCCTGGACTTCATGCAGTGTCAAAATGAAAATAAGCATGTGGTTGTGTTTCTACACTGACACGATTCTCACCGAGCTGCTTCTGTGCTGGAGCAGAAACTGTTGATGAAATTGACTCGGCCTCATCCACGTCAGGTGACCAGTGTAAAAACTGCTCTCATCCTGGTTTTTGAACAGCAAGGTCAGACAGGCTGAGGTGACACGTCAGCACTTGTCACTGTCTTTCTGACAGGATTGTCCGTTTTCTGACCCAGCTTCTCATATTTGAAACTAGATTTACTCAGTTTGACACGTTGACTTTAAAAATAAGGGAAGTAGTTACAGCATTTCTGTATAAAAGTGATGACACTGAAAAGCACAAAAGGCAGCAAATAATGCATGTTATGGTTAAACTGACAACTCCCATCGGTAACAGTGTGTTAGCATGTGCATGTGTATTTGAACATGTCGCACCTGTCTGTCTTCCTGCTGCAGAGTCCTGACTCAGTGCAGCTGGCACTAAAACTGGACGGCTCGAAGCTGGAGGGCAGGTCGATCCGGGTGAAGAGGTCGGTGAAGAAAGAGAAGCAGAAGAATAAAACCGACAGCAGCAGAAACACAGGGAGGCCGAGCCGGGGCCCCAGCAAGCACCCTACAAAGGGACCTGTGAGGGCCTCGGAGCGGGAGAAAGGAGGCACTCGGGGAGGTTTCAAGTCTCCATGGAAGTCCACTAGAAACCAGCACAAGTCACACAAATGCCCCACCTCGTTCAAAGGAGAGATGGTGGAGCCAAACAAGAAGAACAAGAAAAGACTGAAGAAGAAACCGAAGCCAAACAAGACAGTTCATATCTGAGCTCTGAGGAATCCAGTTTACAGGAACACGTGTCTGAGGACTGTCCTGACCGAAGCCAGCAGTGACCCAGCATTTAACTGAGAACCACAGCATGGGTTTGGTCCCAGCAGCACGTTCTCCGTCTGATCTGGGAAACTAAGAACTGCCCTTCTGTCCCGACAAAGTCAGTTCATCCACTTACCTCCTGTCTGTGAAACCATCTGGTCCAATAAGGGTTCCAATTCTCTACAACAGGTGCCAAAAACCAAATAGACGAAAAAACTGCCAAGTTGAATCACACTTGTGTCAAACTCTGACATCATTTGTAACATTTTATCCGGCTGTTGTATTTCATTACTATCGAGTTAGCATGTTCAGGTACATGTGGTAGTTTTTGCTATTAACTTGTAAATCTGTGATTTTTGAGTGGAAACTAGCTAGTTGTAATGTTTCAGAGCTCAGCGTTGATTCAGCTTTGTTAAAACATCTGTAGATGGTCCGACGGCAGCAGCTGATACGAACCTGACAAAGCAGAAGTGGGGCCGTGCTGAGACTCAGACCCCCTGAAGTCCATCTACAGCTGGACTCTGTGTTATAGATGGACACCAAAGTCTGATTCTGCAGCTGTTTGTCTTTTCTGTTTCCTTTGAAAAATAATGTTGGTGTTTAGTTAGGATTTCCTTCTGCAGAGACTTGGTGCAGCTGTTGGTGTAGGCCTTCAGTCGGCCTACAGCATGACACCCACCGTCCTGGCTTGGACCTCATTTAGATTATGAGCCAGTCCACATGTGGAGACTTGTCCCAAAATAAAACTCAGCAGACTCAGCTTCATAGTCTGTTCACATTTTTATTTTTTCTTCTTTAAAATGAACAAAACTTTATCACATTTTAAAAAGTGTTTACACTGAACAGAAAGTCGAGTGACAACAAAACAATAAATACTCTGATGCATCCAAGCAGAGGGAGGATTACAGTTTGTGTGTCTGGCGATTACTGATACACAACAAACATGAAGGCAGTGGGTACAAACATGTCGGATGGCGTCGACCTGTCAGGACGAGCGCTACGCCACCCTGATGTTTTCAACAACACCCGGCCCAGTTAGTACATACATACCTACAGGCGGAGGAACGGGGACGAGCTCGTTTGTATTTCTAATGGAGAGATTCGACTACCCCGTAACGGGTCATTCAAGTTAAACAAACACTGTCGGGGAGAAACCAGGAAGAAAAACCAATTCCCATCAGGACGCTTTGGTGGGAGGTGTTGGATGTCAGCCAGAGTGATGAAGCTGAAGTGGTGGAAGTCCATGGGAGGAGGAGTCAGGTGGGGGAGGGGGTACTTCCCCTTGGTCCTCCTTATTCTATATCATCCTCGCTCAGACTCTGTGCACTCACGATGCGCTGCAGATGGAAGCAGACAAACACTCAGAGCTGCAGACGGAAGAATTAACAAAGTGAAAGAAACCAAGCAGCAGGTTCTGGTCCCATTAGGGAGGGGTTTGTGCTACCTGGATCAAAGTGGACCAGTTAGGGAAGGTATGGCTACTTGGCTGATTCTGGACCAGCTAGGAAGGTTTCTGAACTTCTGGCTGAATCTAGAACAGAATGAGAGCAACCTTGCTGATTCTGGACTAGTCATGCAGGTCTCAAAGGTACCTGACATGTAGTAGACTAGTTAGGGAGGTTTTGAGGCTGTCTGGATACCTAGAACATGTTGGACCAGTTAGGAAGATGGTGAGGCTATCTGACTACAGCTGAGCCAGTGAGAGAGGTGTGGCAGCTCCCTGGGTGTTTCTGACCTGTCGAGGAGTTGGACTGGCCGATTCTGGACTAGTCAAAGATGTTACAGCACCACAGCTGATTCCAGACAGATTGAGGGGGGAGTCAGACCTACCTGACTGATCCAGTTAAGGTGGTGTGGGATTACCTGGCAAAGTGACTACCGGTAATTTTGAACCAGCGTGGGAGTAGTGGGGGCTATCTGTCAATTATGGGGTCATCTGGACCAGTTGTAGAGAAGGTCTGGCCTACCTGGCTGATGCTGGGCAGTTTGGTGAGCAACATCTGGAAGACGGGTGAGGGCAGAGTCTGCTGCAGCACCTGCAGCAGCTGCTGAGGCTGACCACACACAGCGATGGCGTTGGTCAGGTGGTCCACACCTTTCTCATAGTCTCCTGTGGACAGAAACACAAAAGACAGATTCCTCATGAAATGATCGATCTATAAATCAAACACTAGAATATTCAGATAAGTGAGGTCCAGCTGGTAGTAGAGCAGTTGTGACTAAACGCCATGGTTACAACCAGCACACTCTTGTGTTACTGGTTGGTCTGCAACAGTCTGACTGATACATCGTTCAGTCTTTATGATTTCAGGAAATGCCTGAGCTGTCTGCACTGTGGTCTTGACGTGTCAATGGAGGACTTACCCTGAGCCAGCAGCTCCTCCCCTAGCTGGATCTCCTCCAGGAAGAACTTCTGCACCGCTTCAGCGTCCTTCAGGTCTGGAAGCTGCAGGACAGGCGACAATCAGCCACAGGAAGTAGATGTAAAAACTGATTTCTGTCACATCGTGACCACAGTCAGATCTTAAGGGTATAATGATGCGTCATGTGCTTCAAAGCACAGAGGGACCTGGCTGCAGAACAAGATTGTGGACAGTGACCGGGATTGTGCACCGTCAAACCGCCTGAACCATAAACCTGCCGAGGTTGCCCATCCGCCATCAGCCGGGTTCTCTTGGGCTTAGTGCTGCATAACGGTTAATTTTATCTACCTAAAACTCACCTGGGATGAATATCAGTGTTTGTCATGCAGAGCGGAGGGTCTGGTGTTTCGTTCTTTAATGAAATCGATGAAGCCCACTGGGCACAGGTTTCATGGTGCACCTCTTCCCAGGCAACACTAATGCTACACGCTGCCTGAAGCATAAACTCTGGGAACATATCTCTTTGCAGAGGTTCCTGTGGGCTTTGTGAAGGGTACGAAACAGAGGAAGAGGCAGGTGGACTGCTTTATGTCCCACATGATCTTCATGGCAAATGCCCACAGTACTCGTAGTTTGAAGAACACTAACAGGATAGTTGTACCTCATTAATTTGCATAATGATACAGCAGGGCACACTTCAACCCAGTCACATCAGCGGTACAAGTATGTTTCCACAGTGTACTGTAGAAACGAGGACCTGTTGGTGCACAGAGACTGTTCTCACCTTTGCCAGACCTGCCGTCTCTTTGGCTGCCTTCTGCTTTCTCCTGCCTGCAACAAAACAAACACCACATGCAGTTCAAATGATTAATTTCTTAAGTTAAAACACAGCTATAACCTCTGACGGCTGCCAGATGTTGACTGTTCTGGTTTAGACAGTGCTGTGCTTCTCCATCAGACAACAACACACTGCATTAGGATCCTGATGTGATGTTATTGTAGCGAGGATTTTCTCTTCTGTCTAAACACTACACCATTATTCCCTGGAAAGTTCTACTTTATTTACAGCATACTACTACATTATGTGTGCATTTTTACACACACATTCACTTTTTTATTCATAAATGATAATTATCATTCATACTTTGACATATAGTTTCATATTGTGGCCTCCAGAGATGATCCGCTTGCTTCTCTTGTAAGATCTGGTAATACTGTGTGTGTATAT